CATAATGTCACTAAAAACAGAAACTCAAAATGGAAAAACGTATTACTCACCATTTTGTTGTTCCAAACTTTAGCATTCAACGAAGTCTGTGTCCTCTTATAATTCAAAAGACTGTCAATTCTCACAAGCATTCTATTAATAATTTTTCAGAAAAAGAAGATAAGGTTTCAACAAAGACCTCACCATTTCCTGAATTAGACACTACAACTGATTCCATGTTCAGTGTGGCTACAGTCACCTCAAGCCCTTCAGACTATACTGAAGAGATGACCACAGAAGGGGAGGTCCGTGGCCAGCTAGTGACAGATGAGCCTCTTAACACCACAAGCATAGAAAGTCCTCTACCTCTACCTCCCAACATAACTGAGGTTGAGGAGGACATCATCAATGTGGCCACAGCTCTGCCTTACCTGGGATATGAGATTCCCATGGACAATGCCACTGCTGGTAAGTAAACTAAACTGGATCCAGTGTACAAGATAGCCACATGAAATTAGCAGTGTAAAAGCCCACACACCACTGAAGGTAACTGAGCCAAAGTAATTGAACCAAAACAAGGATCTGCAGGAGTTACAGGGACAAAATAAAAGGTGTCTCAACAAATTTTCAAAGCAGATATTAATCCCATGTGCAAACAGTATAGTTTAAATATGGCCAAATCTTTCCTCACCCTAGAAACTAAGGGAGTGGTATTCCACTATCGCACTAACTCCAGACGCTATGCTTACACCTTTGAGGAAGCACAAGTGGCATGTCAGAAGTTGGGAGCAATCATAGCCACCCCTGAGCTTCTTCAGGCTGCTTATGAAGCTGGCCTTCATCAATGCAGTGCAGGTTGGCTACATGACCAGTCTGTCAGGTAAACTTTTTTTTTTTTTTACAAAGTGCTGTCCTATATGTTTCTAACTGCATTTGTTTTTTTTATGTTGAATTAACTGGAATCCTGGATCAAATATTTTTGACACCTTATATAGCATTCAACACCGTTTTCAGGTATCCAGTTGTGCATCCACAAAAGAACTGCTCTGGAAACCAGGAGGATCTTCCTGGCATTCGCTCTTACAATGTTAGGCCTGCACATGAGCGATACGATGTGTACTGTTACATGGACCAGATAAAGGGTGAGTACAAAATAATTCATGACATAACGATGAACACTTTTATTTAATCATCTATGATCTCACTGTTTGGTCTCTATCCCTTAGGGGAGATCTTCCATGTGAGTTCATTAGCAGGCTTCACCTATTATGAAGCTGTTGACCATTGCAGAAAACTGGGTTCTACTCTTGCCTCAACTGGAGAACTCTACGCCGCATGGAATCAGGGTTTCCACAAGTGCAGTCCCGGCTGGCTCTCTGATCACAGTGTCCGCTATCCTGTCCGCAACCCAGGCTTTGGTTGTGGTGGAAACAAGTCAGGAGTGCACACTATTTATGCACAACCAAATCAAACAGGCTTCCCGAACCCATTCTCCAGATATGATGCATATTGCATCAAAGGTATAGAAACTTTTAAGCCTGTATTTATGAGTTTGCAATGAAAGGCAAGACTGGATGTTGATCTTAGAGATTATTGTTTATTTTTCAGCAAATCTGTCTATGCTGCTTGATGAAGAAATGTTGAATGCTACAAGGATGGGGATGGATCTTAACATGACGGACATAACAGAGCTGCTTAGACCTGGTATGACATATGTTGGATATTGCCACTTGCTACTGCTAATCTTTACAGCATTACTGTCTTATTTAAGCATGCCAACTTTCTGTGATGTGTGTTACAGTTCATCCAATTGTCCCTCCCTTGTTTGTGGACCTGTCTGGATCTGGATCTGGATCTGGATCTGGATCAGGCTCAGGCTCAGGCTCAGGCTCAGTATCAGGTGATCCTGATTCCAGTTCTGGGTACATGTCAGGGAGTGGCATACCCAGTGGGAGCATATCCGGTTCTGGATCAGGTCACCTTGTGAGGTACCAAGAAGGTGCAGATACAATCATGTGGCAGACTTCTGCCTCAGGCAGTGCTTTGGAGGTAAGAGAAGGCAGTGGCAGTGGCAGTGGTGTTATCATTACTTCAGGAATAGAATCAGGGGACCAAGAATCTGGAGATCCAATTGTCCCTCCCTTGTTTGTGGACCTGTCTGGATCTGGATCTGGATCTGGATCTGGATCAGGCTCAGGCTCAGGCTCAGGCTCAGTATCAGGTGATCCTGATTCCAGTTCTGGGTACATGTCAGGGAGTGGCATACCCAGTGGGAGCATATCCGGTTCTGGATCAGGTCACCTTGTGAGGTACCAAGAAGGTGCAGATACAATCATGTGGCAAACTTCTGCCTCAGGCAGTGCTTTGGAGGTAAGAGAAGGCAGTGGCAGTGGCAGTGGCAGTGGTGTTATCATTACTTCAGGAATAGAATCAGGGGACCAAGAATCTGGAGAGGAGTCTGGACTCTTTCATGAACAAAGTGGAGCTAGTGGCCTTCCATCGGGACTTGGCAGTGGAATTAGTGGTTCAGGAACAAGTGGATTCTTCAGTGGTGTGGAATCGAGCGGATCAGGCTTCTTTGGTGTGTCATTTATAAACACAGAAATTATTGATCTGACTGCAAGACCTTCTGGAGAACAGGAATTGTCTGGCGTTTCTCCATTTGACTTGACTGATGTTAGTGGTTTCAGCTCTGCTCCTGGATCTGGCTCTGCCTCTGGATTTGGATCTGGCACCATCATTGACTTTGGATCTGGCTCTGCCATTGGCTTTGGATCTGGCTCTACTTCTGGCTTTGGATCTGGCTCTGCTTCTGGAGCTTCAGTTTATCCCAGTCATCCCTCAGGTGAGGTATCTGGCCACATTCAGAGTCAAGATGTAAAGATTATCATTCTAACGGACGATGAGGTCGAGTTGACATTTAGGCCTACAATCGGAACAGAACAGGGTCGTGGATCAGTGGAGATCAGTGGAGAGGGCAGTAGTCAAGAACATTATGCTGAGGACCTCTCCATATCTCTTTCTAATAGTACTTTATATAAAGATTATTGGAGTGCCAATGAAACCGTTGATCTCATACCAGAAAGATATGAGCAACTTAATGTCATCACAGAGGCATTTGATGTGACTGATCAGTCACCACTGAACACAACACCACCCACCACCTCTATACACACTACTTCTTCAGCTTCACTACAGACACCAAAAGCTATGGAGGAGCCATCTGTTACTGATGGTAATAACTTAACAAAACTTTCATTTTGATGTTATTCAACTGGTGTACAACAACATACTTTTTAAAATTTTTAATTAAGATGAACATGTCTGTCTTTGGCAGCTTCTGCTAACCCATGTGATCCAAACCCCTGTGGTCAAGGTTTATGCTCTCTACAAGATGGCATTACAGTATGTCAGTGTCATTCAGGATTCAGCGGGGAAAACTGCTCAACACGTAAGTGAAAAGTCATAGAATTAGCATTTAAAAAATAACCGTCCACAAACATACCATCATGCTATGTATTTATTGTGACTGAAGGACTGTTTTAACCACCTTTGTCTTACTGCCTTGTTACTTCCTACCGGCAAGTAAGAGTATAATCAAACCGGACTTCACAGGGATTTTGATTTTCTTATATGAAATTATAAACTATAGGGCGCACATATGAATGATGATTTACTAGGTCATTTGAAAGAAACTAATTTTGCCAAGGACACAGATATACCCTGCTCAGTGTGTGGGGAGCAGTGAAAACTGCATAGGGACCCTGTGAATTAGAATGCAGCCTGTCAGTCTTGTTAGTCTTCTGTAACTAGCCACCCCTTAAAGAACACATAATAATAACTAGTAAAATTCATTGTCTCCTCTGTGTTATCAGTGGTACAGGGATGTTCTGAGGGGTGGATGGAGTTCATGGGCAGCTGTTATATCCATTTTGATGAGCGTGAGACCTGGACCAGTGCTGAGCAGCACTGTCAAGAGCTAAACTCTCACCTGGTTAGCATATCCTCCCAAGAAGAACACGAGTTTGTAAAAAGTGAGTTTAATCTGATTTCTAATAAAAGACATGTACCTGCTTTTTTATTTAAATAAAAGTGCTTATACATTTCTAAACCACCTAGCTCAAGTTCACGACTATCAGTGGATTGGACTAAATGACAAGGATGTGCAAAATCAGTTTCGTTGGACAGACGGAAGCCCTTTGGTGAGACCACCTTCCTCTGAGATTCTTTCCAAATTGAGTGATGACTGTGTTCTGAGGCATCTGCAATATGTCATTATTTCAACCAGTGCTACTTTCTCTACAGGAATATGAAAACTGGAGACCCAATCAGCCAGACAATTACTTCAGCACAGGAGAAGACTGTGTTGTAATGATATGGCATGAGGATGGCCAGTGGAATGATGTACCCTGCAACTATCATCTTCCTTTTACTTGCAAAAGTGGACCTGGTAAGAAGAAGTGATAGACATTAGCTTCAGCACCAAGTCAGTCCTGCCCAATTAGCAAAGTGAGCTATTAGCCTATCACAATAGCTATTGAATTTATTGTGTTATTTTACTGTAATTATAACACAGCTACATCAAACAACTTTGGTCTAATTACCAATGGACAATGAATATTATAAATTTAAAGGAACTACTATTTCTTTGTTTTAATGAAGAAAAATGTTTTTTGCTATTTTGTTTGACTCTTTTTACTGTAGTCACATGTTCATCACCTCCTGAAGTGAAGAATGCCAGGATGTTAGGCAACAGCAAAGATCACTACCCTGTTAATTCCATCATTCGATACCAGTGTGACAGTGGATTCACACAGCGCCACCTTTCAGTGGTGCATTGCTTACCTGACGGTCAGTGGCAGGAGCCTAAAGTGGAATGTATAGGAGGTAAGCATTTGCCACTCACACTTGAGGACAAAGTAAAGTTACTATGTTATGCTTCATAGAGTAAAGTAAAGTTCCAACTTCAAAGTCAACAAAAGTTTTGTGTCAATGTTATTACCTCTCTCAACAGGCAAAACAATCAACAAGCTCCGGAAAAGATCCCTCAAGACACATCCTAAAGCAGTCAATAGTCGGACGTGGACGAAGGTCCTCTAAACAAGACAAAAAATACACCTCAAAACATCCAGAGGACTGTTATTAATAAAGATCATCTGTACAGAAGCCTTGTTTACCCCCCAACAAATTTCAAAGACATGGTTAGAACTTATGTAATGACAAATTTTACTTAGTGCATCTGGCTGATTGGTTTACAAGTGCTACTCAGAGCTCTGTTTTGGGGAAAAGAAAGATATCTGGGTTTATTTAAATTTATTTAAATAGGATTTTATTTCTCCCGCTTTTTAGTACGTAACTTCTGGGCCACAAGAGATAATACAATCTAAAAAGAATAGACTAAATTGCACAGAGCGCCCCTTGAGTTTTCACTTTAATTATTACATAAGCACCACTTAGTCCCTAAAATAAAAGCAAAGCACAGGAATTTACTTTACCATTAGTGAAAGTATTTAAATGTTTCCTCCAGGCCACAAGGTGACCCTAATGCTTACTTGTGTGAACATTTTCCCACTTTCCCACTAACAATTTGCACAATCCTAAACTGTGATCTGTGGCTATGTTCGGAATGGAATACTAGCTTTCTACTTACTGAATTTTGTAAAAAATTAGTGAAATAGTAGGCATTGACATGACCATCACATGACCTATTAGTCTGTATACAAGTGTCGCCAATAAAATTGGCATATTCTGCACAGTATACATACTACATAATGCAGCAATAGTATAGGTTGTATAGAATTATACGAACATAGCCTCTAGAATCCCCCAAAGCCGCCCTCCCAAATTGCATGTATACCCCTATTTCGTACTTAATGTACTTCACTGATGATTGGAAAACGCACATTTTTGAATATGTAGAAAGAAACACAATAACAGTATTGGGACATTTTTTCGTGTTTAGTATTGTCGCATGCTGTTTGCATTTGAATGTGTTAGTATCAAGCTCCATAATTACCTTAGCTTAACTTTTAGGTTCATACATTTACATGTGGCTGCATTGGCCTTGCATTCCTTTTTTTTTCTCTACAATTTAAAAAGAGGACACAATGGATTGTGGGCAATATTAGCCCAAAAATCACAGATGAACTCCAGAAATCTGCCAGAAATAGTGTACCATCCTGGCACCTTTGGCATACCATTTTCAGCATACTACGTTTTGGGATGTAAAAAAAAAACCTTATCTGGCATACTATTTAGGGCAGATAGTATGCGAAGTGGGACAAAGTCCAAAAACAACTGTGTATTAGATAGCACAAAGGTAATATTATCTGTGTACATCTGGGTAACACTAAAATTCAGAACAAGACAAAAGGCTTTAATGACCACAGCTGGACACAATTACATTTAAGTACATTAGTCTTTCAAATAATTTAATTAAGATGTATCTTCTTTTTTATTTGTTTTGTTGTTTGTTGTAGTTTAAATGTCTAGTTGTGTCTCTGTGAAACTGTGAAAGATAAATTCCCCAGCTTTTTGCTTCCGATTCTAGGTCAACTGGCATAGTATACAAATTGTTTACTCAGATTAGAATGATTTATTAATTTATTAATTCACTAGCTCATATGATTTGACTTGGCCTCCATAACAGACTTAAGCTCTAATATAAATGTAACAATATTTTCCAATTTTATAGACATCAAACCTAGTGTATGTCTATAGACATTCTCATCCATATTCAAATGAGCACAATATGGCACAAGAATACAAGACAAGAATTTTTACATTGCCTAAAAAAGTTAAAATATTAATGATCAAATAAGCCAACACACATGGTTCAACGTTGATTGACAGAGTCAATCGCTTCCAAAAGAGCAATTGCACACTGTTCCAAGCAATATGTATCTCATTCATTTTGCACTCTGTCACTGTCAGCTCAACGCTGAGCTCATATCTGTCTTAGTACCCCTAAAATAAACAGACTAAATGTATGTGAATAAAGGTATTTTTCTTTTAATACCAAAGAGTTGTAAAAGCTGCTACAAATGGGATTAAATTAAAGTTTATGTATAATTTCTGTGCCACTAGCATCAACAAACTGTACTGCAAAAATAATGGCTATTTTCAAAAAGCTTTTCCAAAGACTCCCTCCGCCTGCCATTGGTCAAATAAACAGTCCCGCCCAAAATTTCTGCCACTGGATGAGCCACTGTTGCTGTTGTTGGGCTGATCAGGATGCTTAAACACACAGACCTACACTGTGTTCACTTTTCTGGGAAACAAACCTACCAATGACTTACTTGTAGTTCTTTCTCCATGTTTAACTGGGATGGAAAACATTTTAACATTAAAAAAAAACACACACTTCACATTTAAGTGGTTGTATGGTGAGTTTATGTGAGAGAAAGAGAATAAATGTTAAGAGAAACGTATGCTTGGAACTTAGCCTCTATTTAATCAATATACAGTATAAACAGTAATTTTACCCCAAATTATCATAGGGATTATGTTTAATGTTTACTCTATGCAGGTTTCCCACAACCTGACCAATCTATTTCCAGAACTTGTACACGAGATTTTCAATTATTTGTGATAAACGAACTAGACAGAGATTCTGTAGAAACTGAACAAACAATGGCAAAATCAACACAAATTATTATAATTTTTTTTACATTTCATTGTTTCCAGGGCTGAAAAAATAATCAAAAATTTAGAGATTCTGTTATATTTTCATGTTGTACATTGTGCACCCAAATGGTGTTTGGACAAGTACATTACTGCTTTAGATAGAAAATATCAAATCAAGTGGCATCTGCAACAAATTATGCAATATTTTTTGGGGCCCCTGTTGTGTATTTACACTGTATACAGAATCTTTAATGTACTACATACATAGTATCAAGCGTATATTGTCCAGAGACAGGTCAAAAAAGGACCGTTCATGTTGACATGACCCAACATTAAGTTACTCAACATCCAAGGCCTCAATTATACAGCAAACAAAACAGGGCCTACTTCATGACATTTTCTCAAGGGAAAAGAAAAACCTATTACCTACCTCTCTTACCCAACACTGTGCATCTTTATGTGCATTTAACAGAGTGAAAAAGCCAGGCTGAGGAACACTGCTGGCTTTTCATGCGCTACTCCCTCCCCCGCCTAAAATCCATGTTTAGGAAGCAGGTGTGAATACGGTACATCTTTGACGCCAAGGGATCATGAAATCCTGTGGAAAGGGTGGGATAATCATACCCCCCTTCCCCCCGTAATTGGCTTAATACTAAAGCTAAACTCAGTGGCACCTGCATGAAGGATGTTGGATTGCTCTTGAACCGAGTGTTGCTGTTGTTTTACTTCTTTGACGCGGGATCCCGCTGACTCACTTTGGCGGTCAGGATAAGAAACTCACCTGGATGTCATATTTACAGAGGACGGGGCAAGGCTGACTTGTTTCAAAAACACAAACAGGCACTGTCTAGGTGATTTAGTGGGCGGTCTGAACATTTGAAATGACTGAAGTAAACACATACAGAATTGTTGTTGGGAAAAACTATTTATTGACAGGAAATCTGGCTTTTTGGATGATGACGTCTCAGATAATAGTAAGAAGTCATGCATACAAATAAGATACCAGCAGATGGCACCGACTAACTGATTATTTGCATTAAAATGCTACATAATACAAGCAATCAGATCATAACAGTCTTTAAAGAATGGCCCACCACCAATTTCAGGCTTTAGCCCTAAAAAAAAAATAAAACATTGTAGAACGGTAGCCTACATGCTGTATAAACGAAATTACGTTCACAAAATTAGTTTAAACCTTAATTTTTTTTTTTAAGTTTTAAAGTGTAAATATCCAAATTAGCACTTGAAATTTAATTTTCCAACACAGTAGAACATTTTAAGGCAACTTTACACAGCTGAGTTAAGGCTGCTCTGTGCCTACTCAAAATTTTGTGTGAAGACATAATGTCGCATAAAAGCCAGACTAAATTAAGCCAGCTCTGACCCACCACTGTCTCTATTTGCTGTGTAAATGCATTCATGCTACCTCTGAGCAGCATTAAACAGTTTGTGTAAATGCCACTTCAGAAGCGCCTCTGTGCCATTGCAGTGTAAATTTGGTAGGAATTCCAGGACATTTCAAATCAAATCAAGACACAATAAAAAACACGTTATTACGATTTGAATATCAGTAGTATAGAAACAGAAGTACTGTTCACTGTGGTTTTCACAGAAGTGTTTATACATTTAAAATGAATTGTACATTTTACCAGTGGACTTTGTAGCAGTACACGCCATGTTTTAAATGCTTCGGAGGAAAGCCAAAGCTGCGCACCCCTGGTTCTGATGTACCACAGTTCATCCTGGGTTGGATGATTGGGTAACGTACACTACCATCAGCCAACCAGCCCGCATCACACTGGTCCAATCCCACAAACCTCCAGGCTGCGTATAACTGGCCAACTTTAGCAATACGACCTCCGTCGTTCTGACAGACCTCCGCTGCCTCTGTGAAATTTAGTTTGATGGGATGTTGCAAGAAGTAGACCTCTCCTGACATTGAAGAAAGACATAAGATACCTTGTCACATCATATTTGGTGACTTAAAAATAATTGTGACTTAACCTCAGAAATGAATGCCAATAATTGATCCAAGGTAACAAAATACAACTGGCATATCAAGGCAAACAGCTTTAAAACATATGCATGACTGATTAAAACAAGGGAGAAGGCCATTTTTAATCCTTGTTGGCAGGTTCATCCAACTTGTCATCCTCAACTTATATTTTTAAAATAGGAACATTTTCCAGAATGAGCAATGGCAGCCACATGCAGCCGAAATTACCATTAATTCATCTTTGTCCGATTTAAAAATGTAAAACACCTGTTGAAAGCACAACTATGGAAAATTGTAAATATTTGTCTAACAAAATTTCACGGAAACAAACCAGCGTAAACCAGGACTGGATGAAGTTATATGAGGGTATATTAAAAACTCCACTAAATATATACAAACATTATTACCTCTAATGGACGAAGTGAAGCAGAAGGCATCAAATCGGTCTAGACTTTTGTCTCGAACGCCGTAGCTCCGTACACCAGGTGCCAGGTCGGTGCCACCACAAGCCTCTCGTGGCACTACGACAGGATATTGTGCCGTCCCATCCATGAGCCACCCAGCGTTACACCAGTCCAGCCCTTCCTCCCAAGCAGCGTAGAGCTGCTCAAAGGTAGCTAGGTGTGCATCCTGTTTCTCACATGCCTCCTTAGCCTCATGAAAGTTCATCAGATAGCGCCCCCTAGGGGAGTGATAAGGGAACACCACACCTGTGGAGAACAAGAGCACAAAGCACCACTGAATAAACATAAGATCAACAAAATTTTGTTAAAGATAAAAGATCATTACAAATAATTAGAGAATGTAAGATAATTAGGGTTTGTCAATTTGTTTGGGGATAAATTACACAATAAATAAATACATTACAAACATAGATTTTGGAGTTTAATATCAGTTAGAAAATAAATTGATAATATAATTTTTTTATATAAATATTTTATAAAATACAATATTAATACAATACGCACCTCGAAATTTAAGATGCACTGTCACGCTCTCGTCCTCGAGACCATCAATAATTTCACACCGGTAACGGCCGGTATCGTCTGACTGTAGCGGGTTGATGAAGAGGGACGCATCGCCCGGGGCGCTTCGGCGGAGCCGCACGCGTCCTTTGAAGTCTCCGTAACTCCGGTGACGCGTGCCGATGGCCACCATGACGTCACGCTCCCGTCCCTCGTCGCTCACGGGTTGCCAGAACCACTTGACCCGCGTTCTGCGGGGCTCGCTGAGCGCGGGCTCGTAGCGGTAATGACAGGGCAGTGTGACGTTACTCCCCTGAACAGCCGACACTAGAGTTTCAGGAGACTCAACGTGAAGACGGATCTTGTGGAAGTATACTAAAAAAGACCATTAAGTAGGCTAAGTAAGTAAATAAATAAAATCTTCAAAAAGAGTAAGCAATTATTGTTTATTTTATTGTTTGTTTATTTGTTTAACTATGCAAAAGTGAAATAGCTTTGAAATAGCAGATTTGTGATGGAGCTCACATTTTGCTGATGTCTTAACCATCCTAAATGTAGGCTATATTAAAACTATATTATTACTAGGATATATACTATATAACCATATAATTCCCACTGAGTTTATAACACATATTCTTGTTCATGAATTTTAAACAATAAAAAAGAAACACAAAACAATTAATTCAATGAAAAGTGACAAAAGTTAGAATTTTGTTGGATTCTACTACATACTCTCCCCATTGTCATTTCCATTTCCATTTCCATGAATTATATCCTGATAATAATAGCCATTGGAGAATCGCTGTGCACCGCTTCCGAGGACCAGGTGCATTAAAAGCACCAGCAGATGGCGTAAAATCCTCATATTCACGGTGATTCCCCTGTATCCCGCTGCTTTCCAACAGTGTCCTTGAATTTTAAGACAACCTAAGATGTGTGAAGATCAGCAAGGAGTTCAGAGCTTATTTATTCAGCTTTCAGATGATTTATAAATCTCAATTTCGAAAAATTGACACTAAAGACTGGTTTTGTGGTCCAGGGTCACAAATCTAACTCAACATATTTCACGAGTCAACAACTTTAACACTTTTGAAATCTGATTTATTAAAAAAATAAATAGTTTGATTTGCTCGCCATAAACGAGATAATCATCAGCTAGTTACTTCAAGAACTGCATGAAGTTGCTGGTTAAACGATTGAAGAAGCAAAAGTCAACTAGCTATACAATTAAGCCACATAAAAGGTAGTTTTACGACAATAGTCAAATGTAAGTAATAAAAAGTTATCAAATTGATACAAAACACAAAGATTTAAAGTCACAGCCGATAGCGTTTGTTGTTGCATTAATTGTAGCATTCAAAGAATCTGCTAACATGCACATTCATGAAATAATAAACGCATTTTCGCAGCTTACCAATGTAAAATACTTTCTCCGGCTCCTTTTGCTACAACTACTCTGTTCATCGTCCGAGGTGAGGAATAATAGCGCTCGCTCTCTCTCTGTAATAATATTGTGGGACCGTGAGGTGACGTCACTCAGGCATCTCTTTTGAAGTTCTCCAGCTCGCGAACAATAATAATTGTGGGGTCTACAAAGCAGTCGAGGACTGCCGTCCATCATCACGGTATAACTTTACAGCATAAGGTGTGTTGATAATTTCCCAAAACTGAAACTGGAGCTTTTGTTCATGGTGCCAGCGAGAATATATTCCACCCAGGTCTCTTGTTACGCGGGTTTGTCACAAAAAAAACAACAACGATTCTTAATGGCCTCAGAGGCTGCCTGGCCTAATAACACAGTTGGTAATAATAGATCGTCACATACCTATTTTTCTTTTACATTCTGAATGCACTGAGTGTTATAAATTATGCCCTTTTAGGTGGAAAACAAACCCTAAAATCTGTATAAAAAATATTTTGTAATGTAATAATTTGTAAATAGTACGACGAAAAAATTACCACTGCATATGAAATTACACACCAGAAACATGACCGTTGACCTTTGACCGGAGTTTCAAAAAAGATTACTATGGGAAGGTCAGTGGTTGAACTTCCTGAAAGGAAAGTATCCATATCCTTGCAGATGTGAAATTTTCCTTACTCGTGACCAGCAGGGATTCAAAAGTTTGTTGTTCTCTGTCAGTAGCTATAGTGTTCATCTTTTATCTCTTCCCCGAAATTCCTACCTTTTCTCCTTGTTATTTAGCGATACAGCTGATGTGATATATAAATCGCAATATTTAAGGAGGAAAAGACTGTTAGGCGGCCTTTGGAGGGACCAGGATGTTGTACTGACAGACAGCATCACTCAGTATTATGACCCCAAAATGTGCCACACTGCACCACCCTTTCTCTTTCACGGTCACATTTACTTTCGTTTGGTTAATTTTCTCAGGCGAAATCCAGTCATTTCAATAGAAATCGACACAAGAAGGTAATAGACCCCCCCCCCGCCGCCGCCGCGGATTTTACATCGTTAAAGTTGTTCACACGAATTCACCATGTTGACCAACAGAATCGTGCTTGCTTTGAAAGTAACTCCTGTGTGAGCTGTTCTTCATACATCACTACATTATGGACACTTTAGAAGATGAGGGTGAGCAGATGTACATCGCCTCTCTCTCAGATACTCACAACATTAGCGACGCATTTGAAGCTCCCCGTCAATTAGTCCCCACAGCCAAGATGAAAGCCGTCGCCTTAGGCAAGGAACGCCAAGGCCCTTTGAATAGCTGTGGGCTTCACAGAAGCATGATTTTGGCAGCTATCATTTGGAAGAACATTGTACTCTAATTGTTTGCCCAAAATGAATAGGTCCAAAATGGCTGGATGTAAATGTTTTAGATTCTCCTGACGCACTTGTCAGTCTTAGTTACTGCAGCCTGCCTGAGAAAAAACTCTTCATTTGAAAAGAATATTGGAAAACAATACATTTTCAAGATTTCAAACATTATATGACACAAATAAAGTGTTTAAATGTTAATTAGCTGCACTGTGCATTCTCCAGGAAAAAAGACAAAAACATTTTAGTAAGAATTCATAAAGGTAAGTATATCAGAAAGGTAAATTAACACAATATTTACATCTCCTACCGAGAAATGTACTATTCAAGAGTTTGGGGTCAGTAAGATATTTTAATGTTTTTGAAAGACATCTCTTCTGCTCACCACTGTCTTTAATCAAAAATATAGTAAAACAGCAATATTGTGAAATAGTTGTAATATATTTTGAAATATAATTCATTCCTGTGATGGCAAAGCTGAATTTTCAGCATTACTCCAGGCTTCAGTTGCTCAAGAAACATTTATTATCAATATGTAAAAGAGTTTTGTGGAAACCCTGCAGTGTCTTTCAGGATTCTTTGATGAACAAAGTTCAAAATAACAGCATTTTATTGAAATAGAAATCTTTACTTCACTTTTGTTGAATTTAATGCATCCTTGCTGAATAAAAGTGTTTATTTCTTTAAATAAAAAATAAAATAAATAAATAAAAAATACTTTTTTACACACATGTACAGTATATGAGGGACACAAATGACACTCAGTAGAATCAGTAGCATTTTTTTAAAGGGTGTTTCTTTGAGATTGTGTTACCTATGAATAACTGAATAGGCTTTGAACAATATATGCAAGTGCTTCCAAACATCATCTTCTGAATGACTATATGCGTGTGAATGAATGGAATTCAGCCACACAGTTTTGTGGGTTTTTGATTTATTTATTTTGGCAGTTTCCATCAAACAAGCTTCCAGTGAAGCTCTAGTAATACTTTGGTTTGTACTGAAGATTTTGACAGCGAGAATGAATTTAAAAAATGTTGACCCAGTTGACAACCCTTCATAAACTTGTCAAGCAATGAGGCGAGATTTCCTTTGTAGAGATGTTATTAGAAAGCAAAGAATGTTTGCCTCTGACAAAATATTTGCCACAATACCTCATCCAAAATAGCCTTGTTTTTCCAGAAAAGAATCCTTCCTGGCTTTGCCCATCGGGTGCTGCTGTTTTCCTGCCATTCTTTCGACTATCACTTGATTCTCTCCTGCCTTCCTGCTTTGAATCTCTATAGAGCCTGTATATTAGTGTGTTCCAGTCAATCAGAACTGAAGGGAGTTATTATTTGGCAAAGGTACAAATAAATAAATAAATAAATACATAAATAGTAATACAATAAAATCCTCAAATATGTTTTCAATATACACACTTAAATAATAAAAGAAAATATTAAATGTATTATTAAAAGAAATAATAATAATATTATTATTTTAAATATATTTCATTATTTTACATTAAGGTACATAAATAAATACATAAGCACACACACACACACATAATAATATACTAAAATCATAGTTTCATTATACACACATAAAATTAAATATCAAATTATTAAAATAAATAACTTATGAATTATTTTAATATATTTCATTATATTATGCTTAATATTAATAATAATTATATTATTATAAATACGATTATTCAATATAAAAATATTAATTATTTAGTTTTTTATACATTTATTTTGTGGTTATTGGAAAAGAATGCAGAGGATTTCCAATTTGATTAGTTGGGGAAATATCCAAAGATTTTAACTTGCCTTATCAGTAACAGCATACTGTGGAGGATTCATAACAAGACAACATGTCTGATAGGCCATAAGTATCTATTAATATTCTTTATTTGTTTCTACAGTTGAAAACATGAGGAAAATATTTCAAGAGATACTAAGGAAATGCATCTAGTCTAAACAATCTGAACACAAGAAGAGTGCTACAGTATGAGGCATTTAAAAATTACAAAAGTTTAAGAGCACATTGAATAGAAATAACAAAGTCAATGTGTCTTTACTGCAATGAAAACAATTCTGAGAAAAATCAAATGCTAACATCAGTACAGAATCCAAACCAAAGAAAATCAAAACGCATGCAGCCTAAATGCAGAAATCATGCTGGATTATTGGAATATTCTTCAGTGTTTGTTACCTTGAATACCACTTTAGTTCTTAGAAAATATCTCAGAGAAATACTGCCCATATATTTTCTCCTAAAGCTCTATTAATATTAATTCATAATACTCGTATCATATTGCACAAACCCAAAATTGTAAATTTATTCGAGTGGATGGGTTGGGGTGAGGGGCCACAATGCATCATTTTGAAAACATTATGTAGATTGGACGGTCATATCAGAGGTTCAGTGCCACCGTAAAAATGATTCTAAATTAGATTTGCACCCGTCCCGCATCTCATTATGCTAGTGACAGGGTACGTCAAAGCTTTTAATGTAAGTGTGGCCCCATAAAAAATAAAATAAAATGATACATTTGCTAACATCATAAGAAAAACATTAGACCACTTTGGCTTTTAAGTGTTTTTGTATCCAAAAAATGTGGTTTATTTCAGAATTATGCTGGAATAAAACTAAAATAAAATTCAGTAGCACACTGCAAATAACTGAACTGCACCTGAGATCTGTGGCCATTCAAATTAAACAAAAGTGATCAAATAATAATAGATGATTGACTGTCACATTTTATATTTAGGTTTGACAAGGCTGTAAAAAATGCATTAGCCTAGTTAAAAAAAATCTAATTGATTTAAAACCAAATATTATTTTATAGAAAAAAACAAATGATCAAATGGCTAATTTTATTACATAATATAAATTAGCATAAAGCACAGCCATATTTTGTGACTTTTGTCACTTTCTAATTTAAACTACTTCATAAGATAAGATATAAAACAGCTTGACTGCATTTAAAACCAAACTAACACACTGATTCTTGTGAAAATAAATAAACTGTGCCTTATTTGGTATGTACAGTTTCTTTTTTCCAATTGTTTATAACTGAGTTTGAGTTTTACTTGACAAAAAAAGAAATATAATTATTACAATTTATTTGTAACAATAAACTTTTAAAAACTTAAGCTATTTCCTAATACGGTCATCTAGGGTAAATAAACATTATTATACATTAGCATTGACTTCATCTTCAAAGGGCCACTGCATCAGACTTGTGTTAGTACAAAATATTTAATGCTAAAAGCTTCACTTCATTTGCTGCTGGGGTCCCCAGCTGTGTAGGGTGGTGTGATGATGGTGCCCTCTGTTGCTAAGAGTGAGGCAGTGCAGGCGTGGTTGAGGGAAGAAGGAATGGTGGGAAGTATAAAAGAGAATGAGAGAGAGGGAGAAGAGTTCTACTCATCACAGCCCAGCAGCTCCATTCGCAGGGTGATGCGTTCATGCCACGCCCACGGCAGGATGCGGACGAATCGTGCGTAGAAGGGGGGCTCGAACACGTTATTTTTGTGCACGTTGTTGTCGCTGTTGCCAGGGAAAATCTGCAGGTGAAGCAGTAGGAAACAAAGATGGGTGAGACAAGGACGTGACAGACAGATGAAGCAGAATATACACAAGATGAGCGGCCAATGCTGTGGCCAGTTGAAAAGATGTGGGGGAAGTTTGGAATCTGTTAAACGAACATTCTGTCATCGTCATGTCATTCCAAACCTGAAAGACTTACTTTATTCTGTGGAACACAGTAGATGATATTTTTTTGTCCATTTATGAATGACAAGACAACTTATTGGTCCCTACAGACTTTCAAATATGGACAAAAACCCTACATTTCCTCAAAATATCTTCTTTTATGTTTCACAGAAGAAAGAAAGTCATACAGGTTTGGAACTACATGAGGCTGAATAAACTGACAGAATCGTAATTTTTATGTGAACTATCCCTTTAAGTTTTATAATAATTGGCATATTGACATATTTAATTGATTTCACATATCCATATTGACATACTGAAATCAGCGATTCATGTTGACAGATCCTAAAAGTAGACCAATGCTGAGAACATAAACATCATAGTTATTTTATTAGTTATATCTTTTTATTTATTTATTTATTAATAGTTTTGAAATAACTTTCATTTTAGTAAATAATTTTGTTTTTGTCATTTTTATTAGGTTTTTTTCTATTTAGGTTTTTTTCTATTTAGGTTTCATTTGTTTTCTTTTCATTTTTAACTTTAAGTAATTTTAGTCCTTCAACTTAAACATTTTTATTTCAGTTAATTTCTTTTTTCAGTTTTTCATGAATTATTTATATTTTATTTTAATTCAGCTTTATTTTAATTAACAAAAAAACATTTTAAATAGTTTACGTTTATAACCGCTGATAACTGGCACTAAAACATAAAAACAAACGTAATATGAAAAATATATAATATTTAATTACGTTATGTATTATCTAATTATTTAATTATGTTAAATATTAACAGTTTTACTTTTGGTAATTTTAGTACCTTAACTTAAATTTATTTTATTTCAGTTAGTTGCGAAGGCAACATTATTACGTTTTTCCATCTTATTTTTTTTTCTTTTATTTTAGTAGCACGCACTAAAACATAAAAACAAACGTAATATGAAAAATATATAATATTTAATTACGTTATGTATTATCTAATTATTTAATTATGTTAAATATTAACAGTTTTACTTTTGGTAATTTTAGTACCTTAACTTAAACTTATTTTATTTCAGTTAGTTGCGAAGGCAACATTATTACGTTTTTCCATCTTATTTTTTTTTTCTTTTATTTTAGTTTTAATTCAAATAACCAATTTTTTAAACAATTTTATTTAATAACAACACTGATCACAGCCACTGAAACATAAAAACAAAAAATGACAATTAAATCCACATGATTTTCGACCCATTTGTGCTCTGAGTGAAACATTTAATGTGTAGGTCAGGATAAGACTTGATCCAAAAGGAACTAGGTAATTTGGGGTTAAATTGTGGAATCAACCAACCTTATCTGTTTTCGTCTTGTCGTCTTTGAGTATGGTCCAGTACATGCCGTCATCACTGTGAGCCACTTTAAAGGCAGACACAAATTGCACATTGCCAAAGTCTTTGGCCCCTTGTGTGATGATCCCTGTGATGCGCTTTGGTCTGAGCAGGTCCACCTAAAAACATACGTAAAACAAAAAGATAAGAACAACTCAGCAAGTGGTCTTACATAAAAAAAAATGGCATTTAGTTATAATGATCCATATGAGTGATTCACTACTGGCCTCCTGGTAATGGCTAATTGTAAGAGGTTTGTTGTTTGTAAATTATGGTCTCCCAGGACAGTGCTTTCAAAGTGAAGATTGAAAATCAGGGCAATCTGACTGTGTTCAGCCTCTGAAAGGTCATCTAATGTGTAAATGTGCTAAGATCCCAAAGCAACGATCAAGAATGAATTCAACTCCTATGCAAACTGCCAGACGTTCACAGAAGGGAAGACACTTAAACTCAACATGGAGAGTTCTCCAGGCAATACTCCCTCTTAATAAAAATGACTTTGTTTAAAGTTGGAGTGATATATACAATATTTTTCAAAAGTTTGAGGTTAGTAAAAAAAATGTTAAAGAAATGAATTTTATTTATCATAGACATTAAAGTGATCAAAAGTGACAGTAAAGACATTTATAATGTTACAAAAGATTTCTATTTTAAATATATGCCATTCTTTTGTATCATGTTTTTTTTACTGTATCACGATTTCCACTAAAATATTAAGCAGCACGACTGTTTTTAACACTGATATGAATAAAAATAAATGATTTTGTGCAGCATATTAGAATGATTTCTGAAAGATCATGTGACACTGTAAACTGTAGTAATGATGCAGAAAATTCAGCTTTGCATCAAAGGAATACATTACATTTTAAAATATAATCAAATAGAAAACAGTTATTTTAAATAGTAATAATATTTCACAATATTACTGTTTTTATTGTATTTGTAATCAAGTAAATTCAGCCTTGGTGAGCATAAGAGACTTCCTTGAAAAACAATAAAAAAAACTTTTTAATGGTGTGTGTGTGTGTGTGTGTACAGGTTTTTCTATACTGGTGGGGACTTAAACTTGAATACACACCAAATCATGGGCACTTGTGTCACCGTGGGGACCTAAATTGAGGTCCCCATGATTACAAAAGCTTATAAATCATACAGAATGAGTTTTTTTGAGATTGTAAAAATGCAGAAAGTTTTCTGTTAGGGGTAGGTTTAGGTGTAAGGTTGTTGTAGGGCGATAGAAAATACAGTTTGTACAGTATAAAAACCATTATGCCTGTGGAGAGTCACAAGGATAGTGCACCAGACGTGTGTGTGTGTGTGCATACAAAACCATACAATAAAAAAAATCTTGTTTTATACAACCAGCATTTTGCCTTTGCGTTGCCTCTTTACAAAATATAAAATTACAAAAATCTTAAAAATGTGACTTCGTTCAGTTCAGACATACTCCAGATTTTACACATGACTGTAAATGTAAATATTTGAAGGGACTCTGTCACTTCACAGCATTACAAGTCATCTCACCTGCAGCCACTCGGAACGGTTATTAATGGCTGCTGTCCAGGCGTTGGTCTTGCCCTGCTTGTCCAGACGAGCGTAATGCGGGTGCCAGGTGAACGCCTCGATCCCCCAGGTGCGGAAAGAGCTGGAAGCCGTCATCTGCCTGTCATCGATCAGCCGTGACTTGATACCTAGCGGCTCGGAGCAACCTGTCGTGTTCAAATACACTGTGAAGTAAGACAACAGAAAGAGGGAGGGGACGGGGACAGGAAGTGGCAGAGAGATGGATGGGAAGCGTGTCAGCACAAACCACATCAGCGCTGAGCAAGTTTCATGCAGGTGAGCGGCAAGATGCTGTGTGTGATGGGGTGTGTGTGAAGCGCACTCAGGCGAGAGCCGGCGGTGTGAGAGGCGTGCTGTGATGGACAGCCTGAGAGACACAGATGGGACAGTGAAGTGGGCAATACTGTAAATGAAACATTAACATCTGCACCATTTCACTGATTAGAAATTAGACTTTCATGTAGGGATGCATGATATAACGTACCATATCGGCCAATATTAGAGTTTTTTTTTTTTTATTATCAGTATCATTGATATTCAATATTTAATTGTTCTTACTAATTTCCTGTGTTTTTACATTTAGATGACCTTTTCCATGATGTAAAGATCACTTAAGTTAATCTTTAAAAACACTAGTAATTTAATAACACTGTTAAATGTTTGCTCTCAAAATGAATATCTATTTTTCATATTGTACATTATAATATTGTGATGCCTAAATTCACTTGTAGTATTTAATGATAGATTTTTTTAAATGTATTTAGTCATAATAGAATACAGTAGTTGAGTATATTATTATAATATTATTATAATAGTATATATATTTTTTACATAATATAATAATAGTATATTTTAATATTAGCCATTAAAAATTGGCCAATTACATAATTTATAACTTAATTTTATAATACCGTTTATTTTTTTATTAATTTATTTGTATAAATTAATTTATATTTATTATAAATAAATATTATAATTTAAAAATAAATTGTATAATTATTCACCAATTTATAATGTTCATTTATTCAATTCAATTCAAGTTTATTTGTATAGCGCTTTTAACGATACAAATCGTTGCAAAGCAACTTTACAGAAAATTAAGTTTCTACAATATTTAGTAGTAGCTTATCAGTGGTGACTGTCAGTTTATGTACATATGGCAGAAATGTACGGAAAAAATCAATTAAAGTTGTAATCAAACAGACGATGAACACTATTAACAGCAATTATTATATGATGCAGTCAAACTTATACAAAATTTGGATTTAATCAATGTAAATAATTAATTAATTGGCCAAAACTTGAAAATAATTATTGGTTTATCGGCCAAAATATTCTAATGTATCAGTGCATCCCTACTTTTATAAAGTGAAGTAAAGTGACATGATGTGTAGCCAAGTATGGTGTCCCATATTCGGAATTTGTGCTCTGCATTTAGCCCATCCAAGTGCACACACACACACAGTAGTGAACACACACACACACACACACAGACACCCGGAGCAGTGGGCAGACATTTTTGCTTTCTGTGCCCAGGGAGCAGTTCGGGGTTCGGTGCCTTGCACCTCAGTCATGGGTATTGAAGGTAGAAGAGAGCGCTGCTCATTCATATGAGAATAATATAATATAATATAATATAATATATAACATAATATAATTTTATTAAAAAAAAAATTTGAAATTAAGAAAATACTTGATTTTCTTAAATGTTAGCAGAAAACAAGAACGAAATGTCCCAAGCACAAACCACACAAATTAACCAGTGTTATTCATCATCACTATATGCAGCTCAAAACTGTGTCAAATGTGCTAAATAAGTCAAATGTCTGAGATGTTTCTGCTCAGAACGTTTACTGGCTAGAGTCCTGGTTTGGAAAGATGTGACTTTGTTTCTTCAGCCAGGCAGGCTGCGGTCCTTAACTTCACCACAAACGAAGACGAGCAGGAAATCGTGCAAACTGTGATGCTGCTTACTCACTTTTTCTCCCATAAAACCACAGCAGTATTATCATATTCTAGTGGAGTTGTTTTGTCTTTTGGCTTCCATAAATCTATTCATAAGAATGTATAAACATGCAAAAATATAATTGGTACTTTACCGTTGAGTTCACAGCCCACCAGCTCTATTCTCAGAGTACAGGCTTTGCGGCAAACAACAGGAATGATTCGCATGTACTGAGCTATGATTGGAGGATCGAACAAATTAGTCTTTGTCCCATCGTTGTCCATATTACCAACAAAGATCTGAAGAACAGAAATGTATACATTCATTAGTTACTTAAAAATTATAATATAATTACAGGTTATGAAACATATGACAAATGCTATTGAATAAA